TATATGATTTGCAATATGGTCGTTTACTTTTAGGCAGAGACTCCCAATAATTAACAATTTTTATAATAGATGGCCAAATACTAATTAATCTATCCGCTACTTTTTTGTCTTCAACCCATCTGGTTGCGCAAAATGAAAGCAGGAACACAGAACCTTCAGTGATACTGATAAATTCACTTCTTCTGGCAGGAGAATCATGAAATAAGGTAAAGCAGCTTTTAAATGTCTTTTTAAGTTCCCAATCAGTTGATTCTACTCCTGTTTTGAAAGCACCATGAATTATGTGTAGGGAACAGCAGCCTATGTCGATAAGTTTAGATAATTCGAGCTCTTCACGTTTGCTTTGAATGTCTCTGTGAAATTTCAAGTTGACACTGGGTCCATCCATAAAGACCTGAACAATTTTGCTGATATTAATATCACTTATCTTTTCATTAAAATGATTCACCAAATCAAGACTAGTACTATGTCCCATAAATGAGGAATCCCAATACCTCACTTCAACTTGCATTTTTTCCTCATTCCAATACCGGATGAGTAAATCCATTTGACAAGTTTGAGTTTTTTTGTTGAGGGATTCATCAAAGGATACGACAAGCCAAGGAGACAGGCTCACTTGTTGTTTAAGTAAACCTTTAAAATAAGGCCCAAGACTATGAGTGATGCTATATCCGACTTTATTTGGTCACATTTGTAAAGATTTAGCAATCTCACTGTCAGGAAACATTGCTTGAAACAAATTTGTCACATTTTTGTTTGAATTGTTAGAAATTCTATTTAAGCAACAATGCAATGCCCACATAATTTCTGCACAGATTTTATTAGAATTTGATACGATGAGTTCTAAAGATTGCTGCTTCATTTGTCCTGTTGAGAAACTATCAGTTGTCTTTAAATTAGACTCTTCTACTGAATTAGGTGAATTAGTATTTTTAGAGCCAGATGATTTAAAAAAACAAGAGAAATTGCTTCCAACTGAAACATGTTTTTTTTCCTTTCTCGTGACATTTTATTGCTTGAATACCCATGTTTGAAAGTTCAATTATTTTATTGCATAATTTGCATCTTGCCTGGGTGTTATTTTTTCCTTTCATTAGCCAAGAGTCAAAATGAGGTTAAATGTCTTTATTTAACCATTCTTCTTTAAAATAAGCTTTTTTTTTCTATTTTATTCATTATTTTAATTCTAAAAATGGAAACAAAATATTTCAAAATGATTTATATTTATAACATAGGGCACTGTAACAAATTTCATTGTATTAACTTTAAAAACCTTTTTTTAATTTTCAAAATTCATTTTCACAAGGATTTTAATCTAATAGTCATTGTAATGCTTATAGAAACCATTACTTTTTGAATAAAAACTTTCAAAAGTTTTCAACTAAGTTGAAAATCTTTGAAACTTTCTGTAACTTATGTAACTTAAAATAAAAAAAGAAGTTTTTCGCTTTAAAGACACAAAAATGTTTAAAGTTAAAGATGCTGTTGTTTATAGAATAAATTACTGAAATAGTTTTAAACGATTGAAATTGATCATAAAAAATTAGTTTTTTTATAATAAATAAAAAAAAAGGAAATATTTTTTTTATAATAAATAAAAAAAAGAAACACACACTATTATTGTAAAAATAAAATAATAACCATAGACAATTTAAATAAAATATTTTTATTGATTAATATTTTAAAACAATTGTTAGTAATAAGAGCGTTTTGCCTATTAAAATACATTTAAAAATATTCAAGTTTTAAAAAAGTTAAAAAGCCGTGGTCAAATTTTTAAAAATAAAATATTATATGCGTGGTAAAGGTGTGAAACACTATAGGGTATTTTTTAATTGTCAAAATAAATGGGAAGCACCAACAGAAACATAATAGCTTATTTGTAAAACGAGTAGTTTCTCAATCAGAATTCCCTGACTTTTCCCTGACTACCTAGAAAAAAAAAAATTTCCCTAACTTTTCCAGGTTTTCCATGACTTTATCCAAATTTGGCTAATTTTTCCAGGTTTTCCAGGTACAGTACAAACCCTGTATACATATATATATATATATATATATATATATATATATATATATATATATATATATATATATATATATATATATATATATATATATATATATATATATACACACATATATAAGCAGTTAAATATATCGGAAAAAAAAACAAAAAACAGCAAAAAACAGTTTTATTTGGTAGCCCTCTTAGCTGAAATATTTGCTCCAAGGTGGATTTTCTTCAAGAAGAAAATTGGCCTAAAATTGGTCAAGGAAATCACAGTAATCTGAGCAGAGCATTACATGTCTGAAATGAAAAATTATGATAATTAGTCTCCGTTCTTACTACAAGAGCTGGGTATTAAGAAGCAGGAAACAAAATTAAAAAAAAGAAAATGATTGTCTTAGAAAAATGAGAAAGCAAGCATCACTTATCAAAATAATACTTGCAGTGCTGATGTTTGCAGTGCTTAATGTTTTGTTAACAAAGAGAAGGGCATTACTGACAAAGACAATAATGCTGCTTTATTTGCTAAAATTGCATAAGAAAACAGCAAGAAGAACTGAAGTTTTATTAATTTAGTCATAAATGGTCTTAAAGAGCCATTTAATTTGGAGGATGATTATAAAGTAGTTAATGAAGTTCTGACTATCTTAGAAGTGTCTTGTGATGATTAAAAGTTATAAAAAGGCTAAAAAAGAAAAATTCATCACTTCCTACTCTTTCTATTTTTAATGGGATCACCAATCAATTGAATGATATACCTTTGCTTCCCCCATTGGTGTTAATTGAATTTAAGCATTATGGAAAATGTAAATTAGCTTTGGATAACGCAGGAGAGTTAAAAAATAGTATTTGTCTGTCGAAGTCAAAAAAGTGTCACCCCATATCTTTTTTTAACTTTTCTGTTGTGTAACTTAATAAAATTACAAAAAAAAAAGCTAAAAACAAACAAATTTAATTGATAGAAGTTATTCTAACTAATTTTTTAGCAAAGTTTGTTTTCTTTTTAGGTTCTTATTTAAAAAATCATGGTGAAAAGATATGAAACTCATGAATCAGTAAAAAAATTGATCCTGGAACATTATAAAATTGGAAAAGGATATAAAACTATTTTTGAAATAGTAAATATGAAACTAATAGTGTAGGAAATATTAGAAAATATAAAATGTAAAAAACTTACCATGAAAAAGACGCCCAGCTAAGACTACCTTACACATTGATAAAAAAGAAAAGATTGGCTTGAGCTAAGAAACATTCGAATTGAACTATTAATCAAAGGTATTGAGTTTTATGGTCTAATGAAACAAAAATATGTTTGTTTGGTTCTGATGGTATCATACGCAAATGAAGAAAAAATGGTGAATGCCTAAACCCTAAATGTATGAGATTAACTGTCAAGCATGTAGGAGGTAACATTAAACTTTACTATTATATTTCAATATTATATATACTTCTAACTTATTTTTTCCTCTTATTATAAGTCAAATGATGGTTTGGGGCTCTTTTGCTTGGAGCGGTGTTGGCAAACTCAAATTCATTGACAGAAGAATGACAAAAGAGGTTTGTATTAATATTACTAAATGAAAACTGAGATCAAGCGCCAGCTTATCTTGTAATTTTTTTTTTTTTTTTTTTTAAATCTTTCAACAGGATGGAGATCCTAAACACACATCAAAGTTAGCTACTCCGTGGTTAAAAAATACAGTATTAAGGTGTTAGATTGAGCTTTTCATTCACCAGACCTAGATCCACTTGAAAATTTATGGAATCTTTTAAAAATTAGAGTAGCTAATCAAAAGCCATCCAGTTTGCAATGCAATGCAATTAAAGGCAATTCTCATAAAGGAGTGGAAAAAAGTTGACCCACAATGGCTTGAAAACTTAGTAGATTTAATGCCTAAAAAATGTCTTGTAGTCATTAAGGTAAAAGGCACACAAAAAGACTATTAATTTTATATTACCAAAACAATTATTAAAGGGTTGACACTTTTTTGAATTACACTTTTTCTAATATAGTGAATAACTTTGGTTTTAAGTATAAGAATATTATCTTCTAGTTATAAAAATATTTTTTGATATAAATTCAATATTAAAAAAAAAAAAATTGGGGTCAAAAATCTTTTGGATTTTTTTCAGGGAACTTTTTTGACATACTGTGTATGTATGTATATATATATATATATATATATATATATATATATATATATATATATATATATATATATATATATATATATATATATATATATATATATATATATATATATATATATATATATATATATATATATATATATATATATATATATATATATATATATAATATTGTGTACTAAGGTAAGCAATCTGACGTCATACTGAAATAGCCTGCTGGTGGGGGCTTCAGTACATACATCCACTGACAAATAGCCTGACTCACAGTGGAGTGTTGCTATATCAACTGAGGGTTTGGGATGGGGCAGCAATCGCTTCATTCATCACTCTTCGTTTTTTTCTTCTTTTTCTAAAAAAGCTGCATGGGTTAAGGTAAGCAAATATATATATATATATATATATATATATATATATATATATATATATATATATATATATATATATATATATATATATATATATATATATATATATATATATATATATATATATATATATATATATATATATATATATATATATATATATATATATATATATATATATATATATATATATATATATATATATATATATATATATATATATATATATATATATATATATATATATAGGCATGATACTTTTAGTTCCATATAGATAGGCATGAAACTTTTAGTTCCATTATAAAGTTGTATTTTTCTATTTAATTACACTTTATTTATATATATATATTGATCTATTTTGTAAAAATTATTTTTACATTATATAAAAAACTATAGAAAAACATTTTCTATAGTTTTTTATAATGATTTTTCTAAGATATCTTCATTGTTTAAAAAAATATGAAATAAAAAAGTACTTGTTGTAGTATTATCAGGTCCAATATTGATAACATATGGAATTCGAGGTCTGCCATTTTTATCTTTCCATAAAGTTACAAATTTAGATTGACTTCTTTTATTTCCTAAAAATAAGCAGCTAAACTTGAATAAATACACACACACACGCATATATATATATATATATATATATATATATATATATATATATATATATATATATATATATATATATATATATATATATATATATATATATATATATATATATATATATATATATATATATATATTTATATATATATATATATATATATATATATATATATATATATATATATATATATATATATATATATAGTTATATATATATGTATATATATATATATATATATATATATATATACATATATATATACATAAATATATATATATATATATATATATATCTTATTTGCTGATTTAGGTGAGCAGTGTGATGTCATACTGTAATAGCCTGCTGCCGTGGCAGCAGGCTATTACAGTATGACATATGTATATACAAGTATATATAATATGTATATACAAGTATATACATATTATATATATATATTATATGTATATACAAGTATATACATATTATATATACTTGTATATACTATATGTATATACAAGTATATATAATATTAAATTTATACCAAGTTCTAAATTATGGCCAAGTAGTATTTGTATTATTTATACTTGTATTTAAATACTTATTCCAACTTGTTTAATCTAACTAACAAATATTAAATAGCAAAATAACAAATATCAAACATATATATATATATATATATATATATATATATATATATATATATATATATATATATATATATATATATACATATATATATATATATATATATACATAAATATATATACATAAATATATATATATATATATATATATATATATATATATCTTATTTGCTGATTTAGGTGAGCAGTGTGATGTCATACTGTAATAGCCTGCTGCTGTGGGCTTTAGTACATACATTGACTGACAAATAGCCTGACTCACAATGGAGTGCTGCTACTTCGACGGAGGGTTTGGCAAAGGGGAGCAATCTTTTCATTCATTATTCTTCATTTTTCTCGTCTTTTTCTAAAAAAGCTGCACCAATTAAGATAAGCAAAAAAAAGTGAGCAAACTCTTATATAAATATGCTATAGTAGAGAAAATTACATGAAAATTTGGTTTATCGTCTTTTAGTGTTAAAACTAAAAGACCATAGACCAAATTTTCAAAACAAACTTCCTTGCAGGTTATTGGTTTCCTCAAAAAGTGAGATTGGAAATGCAAGCAAAATTAAATTAGACAAAGTTTTTATATATTCTTAGAAATAAATTCAACTTGCAACAGTGAAAAACTACCACTGATGGTATAAATTGGTTCTCTATAATTGAAAAAAAAAATGACTGTGCATTTATTCAATTTAACATAAATGATCTTTATTCCTCAATAATTGCAGATATTTTAGATAAAACAATTGAATTTGCAAAAAGCCACACAGTTATTCCTGAAGAAAAAATCCATATAATAAAACATTGTAGAAGAACCTTATTTTATCTTAATAAGGAAACTTGTAAAAAGAAAAACATACATAACTGCTTTGATGTTAAATGGACAGTTATGAAGGAACAGAAATTTGTGATTTGTTGGACTATATATTTTTAATTTATTAAGTAAAATAATCAATATAAATTATTTAGGCCTTTATCGCAATGAGAGTTTAATAAAAATGCGTAAAAAATCTGGTCCTCAGCTTGACAAAATTAGAAAAGATATTATAAAATTTTTTTTAAATATTGGCTATAAAAAAAGTGGTTTTGAAAATTTTGCAATAAAATTTGACCCTGAAAAAAAGAATGCAAAAAAGCAAAATAGAACTAGAAATTTAATTTGGCTTAACCCCCCCCCCCTCCCCCATACAAAAATGTTTCCATTAACATAGGAAAAGTATTTTTGAAATTAGTCAATAAGCTTTCCCGCCATCTAATAAATTACATAAAATTTTCAATCAAAATATATTTAAAGTTAGCTACAGTTGCGCTGTAAACAAAAAAGAAATCCTAAATGAAAAAACGACAGAAAATTATAATTGTCTAATGAGCGGAAATCGTTTATCAAAAACGTGGTATATAAATGTGTGTTTACTCTAAGAATGTACCTGATAGACAATATATTGGCATAACAGAGGGTAAATGGAAAAAATGTTTGGCTGATCACAAGCAAGTATTCAAAAGACACCAAAATATATAAAGTTAGGAAAACAACTGATTCTCCAGAATTATCTACAGAGTATCTGTCAAAATGGGAATGGGAACTAAAAGATAAAAATGTTGATGATTTTATACTGAATTGGTTCATCCTCAAAACAGCACCTTCACATAACAATATTTACAAAACATGTATACTATGCCTACAAGAAAAACTTCAACATGAAATAATTACGCATGCAAACCAAGAATGTTTATTAAAGAAAAAATCGGTTTATTAAAGAAAAAATGGATTTCTAAATGTAGGCAAAAAAATAAGTTTCTCCTAAAAAACTATAAAAATAAATAAGCTCAAATTATTGGTACTTTAAATTCCCCCTTTTAAGAAATATTTGTTTAAAAAACCAGAAGTAATCAATTCTAAAAAATTCTTTTTATAATAGTGTCAACATATTCCACAAATGTATGAAAATTTACAGTAGTTGATACAGTTGCAACTTCCTGTAATTTAATTCTTGGTATAACTTGAAGTTTTATAAATTTGATCATTCATTTCTGATGAGTCTTTATTGAAGAAACACAGAGTTGAATGAAAAAAATTTTTCTACTAATTTATATGAATATAAATGAGTAGAAAATCACATTATATGAATATATGTGATTTTCTACTAATTTATATGAATGTATATATATATATATATATATATATATATATATATATATATATATATATATATATATATATATATATATATATATATATATATATATATATATATATATATATATATGTATATATATATACATATATATATATATATATACATATATGTATATATATATATATAAATATATTTATATATATATATATATATATATTTATATATATATATATATATATATATATATATATGTATATATATATATACATATATATATATATATATATATATATATATATATATATATATATATATATATATATATATATATATATATACATATATGTATATATATATATATATATATTTATATATATATATATATATATATATATATATATATATATATATATATATATATATATATATATATATATATATATATATATATATATATATATATATATATATATATGAGACTGTTTAAAAATGACTCACACTTATTATTTATTAACTTATTAGTTCTCACTGTTGAAGAGCAATCTTTCAAATATAAAAAATATTATTGAAAAATTATAGTTATTATTTGAGGTTTCTTAAACAATAATTTTAAAAACAATTTTGAAACATGGATAGCATTGGTATAATTACTCAATGAAGAACTACTTAAAGAAATTATATCTTAATTATCTATTGTACCATAAATACTGAACTGAAAAAGTGGAATGAGACCCAAAGCTCTATTTTGTGAGGAAAATCTTAACTAAGAATTGGTTTACCAGTTTATAGATTTTAATTTCAGAAAATGTCAACGGCAACATGATTCTACTAACCTGATCTAGTAAAATTTAAACCGAATTTACTTAAAATGATATTATTTATTTTACGAATGCCTACAATCCAAAAATAACTTAATAATGCAATATTTTAAAAATAACTAAATAAGTCAATGTTCCAAGAATAATTAAACAATGACATTAGAAAAATTACATCTGAAAACAGGTTTTTTTTATGATAAATCACATAATTCTTTATGATAAATCACATAATACTTTATGATAAATCACATAATACTTTATAATAAATCACATAATACTTTATGATAAATCACATAATACTTTATGATAAATCACATAATACTTTATGATAAATCACATAATACTTTATGATAAATCACATAATACTTTATGATAAATCACATAATACTTTATAATAAATCACATAATACTTTATGATAAATCACATAATACTTTATGATAAATCACATAATACTTTATGATAAATCACATAATACTTTATGATAAATCACATAATACTTTATGATAAATCACATAATACTTTATGATAAACTTAAAAGCTTGAAAAATCTTTAAACAATAAGCTTTTCAATAAAAACAACAACAACAAAAAACATTAATAAAAATATATAATATAATATGCTAAAACCAGCTAAAAAACTGCAAAAGACTGACAACAGAATGGAGTATCTTGCAATGAATACCAGGTTTATTAGAGTAAAATTTCACAAAGACTATTTTAACAAAATACTTAAAGTCAAGCATTGAATTCAAAAACTGGAACTAAGAAAAATTAGTAAAATTTACGAGAAGTCCTCAACAATAAAGTGAGAAACTGCACCCTTGTAAACCATATGAAATAACACAGAGAACATGATACAATGGCTTGGCAAAACCAACAACAAATATAACTTCACTTTCATTTAGTTTGTTTTTGAGGAGTTATATTCTTCTAATTCTAAAGAAATACTGTAAGATTCACTTACTTTCGCTAATCAATTTATAGCATTTTTCAACGATATTATAAATCATTAAAGAAAATAATTTGTATTTACTTCAAACAATAGTTGGAGGGTCAAACCAGGATGCGAACTTTTAAGTTCCCATCCTGGTTTGACCCTTTTAAGTTCCCATCCTGGTTTGACCCTTAAGATCCTGAAGTATGAGAGCTAATTGGCTATATTCTACATACAAAAAGTAAAGATTATGGGTTACAATCTGTTAAATTATATAGGGATGATAACCTTGTTGTTTTTATGGGATTATTTGACAGTAATCCTATTTGAATCAACCATAAAAAATCATTTATTTTGGTAAGCAGAAATTTTATTTAATTGCAAACATTCTTCATGCCTGATTTAATCTGTCAGAAAACACTTTTAAATAAAGCCACACAAATTTTTAACAATACCTTAGCAGCTATTTATTATAATGAAAAAATAATTTCCAAAAAAACCTTGCCTCAACAAAACTTATATGAAAATCACAAAACAATTGGTTGAATTCTTCATTTTCAATAAATGTAGTTACCAACATCACAAGAAAATCATTTAAATCTAACGGAAAGGTTTTTTCAATTTTTTTCAATTTTTCAAAATACAAAATCTTCAATAGGATCCTTAATGTTTCACAAAATCTTCAATAGGAATAACTTAATATAGTTATAGCTGTCTTTTTAACATCATCAATATTATTAATTTACACAGTAAAAAATATTATCTAATGCTTCCAACATCTAACTGCTGGAAAACTTTACAATTTCCTTAACAAGGTATGAGCTAGTAAAAGTATAATTTATACCTATACATTATATATAATTTATGCTTGAAAAATTAGAACACCACAATAAAAAAATAATTTAAGCATAGTTTGAAAATAGCCTTTGAATGTGTTAGGTACATTTAAAGGCTATTTTTCATGAACATTTTTTCATGAGCCAAATAGTAAACCAATAAAATAGTTAACACAAGTCAATTGTCAAAGCATCAAAAGTAAATGATTTCAAAAGAAAAAAAAATACATCATCAATTATTTTTTCTCAGTGTTAAATAAACTTTAGCAAAAACTTATTATAAAAACGTATAGCTTAAATAATATTAAATTACCATTACAAAGACTTGTATAACCTATGTTAAATGAACATTAAAAAGACTTGTATAGCGTTGTAAAGACTTTTATGAATGTGTGTATATATATATATATATATATATATATATATATATATATATATATATATATATATATATATATATATATATATATATATATATATATATATATATATATATATATATATATATATATTTATATATATATATAAATATATATATATATATATATATATGTATATATATATATATATGTGTGTGTGTGTGTGTATATATATATATATGTATATGTGTATATATATATATATATGTATATATATGTGTGTATATATATATATATATATGTATATATATGCATATATATATATGTACATATACATATATATATATATATATATATATATATATATATATATATATATATATATATATATATATATATATATAATATATATATATATATATATATATATATATATATATATATATATATATATATATATATATATATATATATATATATATATATATATATATATATATATATATATGTATATATATATTTAAAATAAAACTGTATAACAAAATATAAAATTGCCACTTACCAGCTGGAAACTTTGTATCACTGAATCTTCCTGTTAAATATCAAAAAAGCTTATTAATAATTATCCAACAATAATTGTATATAATATATAATAGATATTTTTAATGCCACTATTTATTGTAATTATTCTATAAAAATTTGTATTTATACTACAATAATTTTGAATTTGTCTACTGTATTTGTATACTGTATAAAAATCTCTTTTATGTTAAATTTGTATACTAAAAATGTTAATTTAATTGCACCATTTAAACTATGCAAAAAAATATGTGCAAAATTAAGTTATTCAAGTCTATTCAATAATAAATGATTACCGTGTGCAATGTTGATCTCTTCAATAGTTTTTGTTACCTCTAAAAAACATTTAAAGTTTACTTTTACTAGAACATCAACTTTGATTTAATATTTGTAATTTAAACATTAACTTTGATTTAATATTTGAAATTTCGAAATGTAATTAACAAACAAGTATAATAATGAAATTATTTAAAAAATGAAAATATAAAAACAACTTGTAAATAAATAAAAAATATTACATAACCAATCACTTTAAATTATAATATAAACCATATATAAATAATAATTTAAAGGGTTACCAAGTAAAACAGCTAAAACATTCGAAACATAAACATAAAACAATATTGAAAATTATAAAATATAAAAAAAAATTTTAATAAAAAAATGTACCGATTGGTTCATCAACTATAGTGGCAAGTTTGTTTTTACCAACTGTACCATTTTTCACAATCTTTTTGTTTTCTAAAATGTGAACAAATTGACATGATAAGCATAACTCAAAAATTAAAGAAAATGTTTCTACTATCTTGTGAAAACTTGCTTCAATCTTACTTTTTATGCAAGTACATGCAATATTACAAGATGTTTTATTAAAAAAACTTAAAACAATAAAATTTCAAAAAAATAAAAATATATATATTTGAATATATATATATATATATATATATATATATATATATATATATATATATATATATATATATATATATATATATATATATATATATATATATATATATATATATATATATATATATATATATATATATATATATATATATATATATATATATATATATATATATATGTTATGTTAAGATAATAATAAAACACAATTAAATTTGTTGTATTACCAATGTTATTATATTGCAATTTATCAGATTTTTTTTGTATGTAATTTCACTTATTCATGCCAAACAATTTACAGAAACTTTAGAAAACACATTAGATATTATTAATCACTCATGAAAATCATTACTGTTTACTGAACACATTAGTATCTGGGTCAAAAAACTTGGTGATCCTAATTTTGACGTCACTATGGGAAGTTACAATGGGGCTGAAGCGTGTGAGTTAGTTGGACTCTTTATTTTAGATACTTTAAGTCAAGACTATGGGTTGCAATTAGAGATAATAGGCTTTGTTGTTTTCATGGAATTAATGGACCGCAATCCAAGAGAATAAAGAAAAACATTGTTCATCTTTTTAAGGAGAAATTTAATCTAAAACTTACTATAAAAACCAACTTAAAAATTGTAAACTTTCTTGATGTTACCTTCAACCTGTTAGAAAATACTTTCCAGCCCTACAGAAAACCAGGTGACCATTCATTAAACATCATTTCTAACCACCCTCCAAGTATTATTATTCCATTTACTTATTAAAATTGTCACGAAAACTTTTTTGAATCTTATTGAGAAGCATTTTCCAAAACCACATATGTTTCGCAAAATTTTTAATAGGAATAATTTAAAAGTCAGTTATAGCTGTCCAAACTTCACCAATATTATTAACTTACACATTAAAAAAGTATTATCTAATGTTTTCAACACTATTTTTCCAACGTGTAACTGCCGCCAACCTTCACAATGTCCTTTGCAAGGTATGTGTCTTAGTAAAAATATATTTTACGTCTGCAATGTAAAAACATCATCGCAGGATAGTGGTTTAAATATATTAGTTTAAGAGAGCACACCTTTAAAGATCGCTGGTACAAGCATAAGAACTCCTTTCAATACGAAAGTAAAGCTAATGTCACAGAACTTTCTAAATACATCTGGGAAATGAAAAAAAGGGATTTTCTAAATTCTTTTATTACGTGGAAGATTATTGATAGGGTGGAACCTTTTAAACCTGGAAGAAAGTTATGTAACCTTTGTTTAACAGAAAAATACCATATCATTATATCATATTTAAATGTTGCCACAAAAACAACTTTCTTATCTGCAACTTTAACATTTAAGCTAACACTGTATTGTATTTTTGTATACAATTTTTATTGTTGTTTTGGTTGTTTGTAATGTCTGATGATCTCATAAAGCGTGAAACTCCAAGTTATGTTACAAATTTAATTGTATTTTATTATTATCCTAATATAATATATTTGCTCTACTTTTGTATTGAGCATTGTCTACCAAAAAATTACTTTTATTACTGGTGTGTATGTATATATATATATATATATATATATATATATATATATATATATATATATATATATATATATATATATATATATATATATATATATATATATATATATATATATATATATACATTTATAAAAATAGAATTATTTACCATAGAAACAATAAAATAATAATAACAACCTAATAATAACAACAACAATATCTTGATACAATGCAAAAAAGTAAAAGCATAAGGAGCTTATTAGCAAGCAAATATCTGTTAAAATATCAAATTTGGAAAAAAAATAAGTTTAACAAAATCTTTCTGCTTTAAGACATGTTCAATTCTGTCTCTTTAGTATGGTGGCTCTTAAAACAACTTTTTTGAGAAAAACCTGCTCTGACCCCTTTTATTTGTTCTACAAAATACTAAAACACTAGGTTTAAAATTTTTTTGAACAAAAAAAATTTTTAGGGGTAGCTCAGGTCCCTTAAAAATTTGATGGTTCCCTATTATATTGAAAAAAGTAATTTTCTAAAGTATGTCAACCTGGTACTCAAAATAAGCAAAATTATATAAAAAAAAACTAAAAATGAAAATCATTTTTCATAAAAATAATTTTTTCAGATATTAATGCATAAAATCTATTGTTTTTATTTATTTAAGTAATAGCAATGCTTAAATACTTATTATTTTCAAGTTTTTTAAAGAATAATTTTTTTAGGCATATTTTTTACGTAAATTGATTATTATTTTTGAAGTTTTTACATAATTTTGCTTCTTTTGAGTACCCTGTTGAACAAATTTTTTTTCAAAATATTAGGGACCTTTCAAATTTTTAAAGGTCTTGAGCTACATCTAAAAACATTTTTTGTTCAAAAAAATTTTAAACCTATTGTTTTAGTATTATATAGAACAAAATAAAGGGGTCAAAATTTGTTTTAAGAGCCACCCTACTCTTTAGGTTACATGAAGTAGGTTTATCAGCAAAAAAGTTATAAAAATGCCTACAAAACATATCATTATAAACATTGACTATATTAAATACCACATATCTCAGTTTTCAAGAGCAATTTTTGTCTTCTACTGTATACCATATATTTTTGTCTTCTACTGTATACCATATATTTTTGTCTTCTACTGTATACCATATATTTTTGTCTTCTACTACCATATATGCTTCTGTTTAACATAGAGATTTAGCTCTTCAAAAATAAAACATTTATTGATCAACATTGAGTTCTTTTTTTAACTAAGATCTTTACTTAGTTATATTTATTAATTATATTTGTTTTTGTATTATATAATATTTAGTAAAATTTCTTAAGAGATACAATACTGGCTATAAATTTATGCCACCTATTTTTCATCTATTTCCATAAAAAATTACTTATTAGAAATTCCATATTTTTTAATAGTTCAAGGTTATCTGATTGCACCACATGTTAATTAAATCACTCATAAGTTAACTCAATGTTAGTTAAATCACTCATAAGTTTGACCTAGTGAGTTTTATCTATTATACTTATTGAGTTTTTAATTTGTAGGAGTTATATTTTTTGTATAAAAACATTATTTTAAGTATTTAAGCATTGCTATTACTTATTGAAAGAAGTAAACATTTTTTTTACTTTCAATTATTAATTAAATACACCAATATTTATTTAAGAAATTCTTACCTTATACATTTTAAAAACCTTTATGAATAAAACAAATTGATAATAAAAAAAAGATAATCGAGAATAGAAATTTTAGAAGTACTTTTTTATACTTTTGGCAACAAATAAAAATATCTATCTCTGTTCACCAATTTAATTTTAAAATTTTTAAAAATACATAATTAATGATTAAAATTCAAATAATTTAAGAGTAATAATACAATACAATACTCCAATAAAGATGATAATAGCATTTAATAATGATATACCAAATAAAGTCAAACAAAATTCTGAAAAAATATCTTTTTTTTTTTTTCCAATGATTTTTTTTTTCACAAACTAGGCAGACAATCATTATTCATTTTTACTTGGAACTAAGTCTTGACAAATTTTCCTGATGGCAAGTTTTTTTTTTTTTTTTTTTTTTTTATTTGCATTCACTCCCAACAAGGCTGCAAGCAACCACTATTAAGTTGGGAGTTACTAGGAAAAAAAAACAACAGAGTTATAGAGCAAGGAAACGGTTGACAGAAGACTTGAAAAGTTGAAGGTTGTATGAGTCAGGAAAACATGAAGATGGGAGAGAGTTCCAAAGGATTGAAGTGCGGGTAAAAAAACTAGATGAATAAAAGTTTTTAGAGCATGCAGGGACAGATACAGTAAACGAATGAGACTTAGCTGAATGACGAGTAAAACGAGAATGAATTTTAGTTGATGGAACTAGAGATGATAACTCCTTTGAGCAGTGAGCAAGTGCTTATAAGTCCTTATGGCAAGTGTATCAAGACATGACACACTTGCCATAAGGAATTAAACTTTCTAAGTTGAAACCAATTAGACATATTTTTTTAAATAACCTAAATTATTTGAAAAACAGACAGCATCACTTTGATGAAAAAGGCGAAACCACCCTGATATTGGCAGTGATTGTAAAAAATGTCGCCACATTTTTTACATGCCAAATAATAATGTAAATGAGGTAAAGTTTAAATACGGTAAGCATTAATTTTTATTCAACTATTAGTTAATTATTCTTAAAATTATGTTAATATTATAATTTTTACCTTTCGAATTTCGATGTTTCTTCCTATTTTTATTTTTTCCTTCAGCTAATGATAATACAACAAGTTGGTAAACAAAAAGTAAAAAAAAAGCTTTGAAAAATAACTTCATTTCGTAGAAGGTTCTAAAAAATCAAGTTTAATATATATTTTAATTTTTTGACTAAAACAAAAATATTTTATAATATTTCCAAATAACTTTAAATAAAATTGAAATTATTAAATAAAAATGTAAATTTCAGGTTTCCTGTAAAAAAGTAAGAAAAAAAACCTTTAAAATGCTAACTAAAGAAACAGTTATATTAATTTTTGATTTTTTAAAAAGTAAAGTTTTTTAATTGAGTAAACTTTATACTTCCGGATTTTTTTTTTTCTTCACATATTAATTTTAAAAAATACATAAATATTTATTATAAATATTTGTTACATGATTGCACTAAACCAATAACATCGTCCATTTAACCTTATATTAAAAATTTAACTAAATTTCTAGAAGATTTACTTTCCAGTAAATTGCTTCTGAGTTTTTGACAAAAGATTCTTTCTTTTTTATCAAAGACAAAAATAAAACACAACATAAACTTTGCATTGTTTAACATTTCAAGTTAATTCATAAACATTCTACAACAAAATGTAAATAAAAAAATGCATAAAATTATAGAACTAATTATTCAAGCTTAGAAATAAATAAAATGGATAAACAAAACTGCTAACTATATACTATGTTTTCTTTATAAATTTAAAAAAAAAAAATAAAATAATCTTTTGATTTTTTTGATTGTTTTTTAGAGACATTTACTACTAATTATACTAATTAAAACCTTTTTCTCTTGTCTGGATAAATTGAGACAAATTAGCTCTACAAACAAATGATTGTTTCAAACAGCCATGGAAACCTCTATCTGTAACTGCTTAGGGCATTATTGTCAAATCATTGAAGGCTACATCTTCATCTTTTATTTCTATTACGAACTTGGTTTGCTTAAACCAGCTACCATCAAATTATCCAACAACCGAAACTTGTATGACTCATCATTTAACAGAGTTGCATCTTTTTACTATATCTGTTTTGTTTTATTTTTTATGTTTAAAAAACATTTATTTACCTGACTCAATCAATTAACAGTTTTTAAATCTACAACTCACCAAAAAACAAGTTTTAAATAAAATTTATTACATTTTTAATATTATAATAATGTTTTATTGAATGAAATCCAACACAAAAGTAAAAATTAATTTAATAATAAGATAAAAAAAAACATGAGCATTCTATGTCAACAAATTTTTACAAAATGTAAAACATAAATAAAAATTTTACATTGATTTTTAATTCATTTCTGTTATTTATTATACTAATATAATAAAATGTGCAAGTAACACTTATTTCTAAAACTATTGTTTACGTAAATTAAAAAAAGATCATTTTAAACATTGTGCTTTTTACATGTAAAAGAAATGCAACTATTATAATCATTATAAGATCATAATCAATAATATTTATTTAATAACATCAATAACATTTTACTTTAACTTAATTACTTTTTTTAAAACTTTTGAACCTTCTAAAATCCTCTACCATCCTAACAATCTTAACAATTTATTCATTTTTGTAACACTTTAATTATATAATGAGAACTTTATTGTTGATGGTTTGAAAAACTCTTAAAATCAAGAGTTAGATATGAAAAGTTTAAAGCATTCCAAATATTACTCATAGATGAATCATTTCATATGAAATAGAATAGCTTTTCTAAAGACCCAGAGGTACCACATTAAATTTAGTTCCAATCTCAATAACCACATCAACTAAAATTCAAACATCTAGATATATATGTGAGTGTGTGTGTGTTTATATATATATATATATATATATATATATATATATATATATATATATATATATATATATATATATATATATATATATATATATATATATACATACATATATATATATATATATATATATATATATATATATATATATATATATATATATATATACATATATATATATATATATATATATATATATATATATATATATATATGTATATATATATATATATATATATATATATATATATATATATATATATATATATATATATATATATATATATATATATATATATATATATATATATATATATATATATATATATATATATATATATATATATATATATACAAAGCATTAGTAACATCTATAATTGTAATTCCATCATGTGTGTCTAGCAGAACCTTTCTAGATTAATTTGAATTTTGACAGACCATACCTTTGTAAACAAAAAAAGGAGATTACCTGACATTTGTATAATAAAAGTTTTTCGCCTTAATAATTCATATTTTTTAATTGATAAACTCCTTAAAAATGCTTTCTGAACTATTGTCCTAAAAGATGTTTGATAATGCAAAATTAGATAACATTTTTTTAAATTTTGACAGATACAGTTTCATACCTACTGACTACTAATCAGTAGGTATGAAACTGTCACTAGCAAGACCATATTTATTTAAAATCTAAAAAAATACATTTACTTCACAAGTATAGAAGAGAGTGTTATAATGATAAGTAAATAATTAAACTAATTTACACCTTTAAGGCTCTATATCTTCTTCTCCAACTATAGGACCGCATTTTTTTTAAAAGAGCAGTGTTATAATACATAGTTATCACCTTTTCTCAATCTAACAAAAAAGTTTTATTTAACTAAAGAGCTTTTGAAGAAAAAAGTCAATTTGACAAGTAAATCAACAGAAAAATATTCCAACAAACAAACACAAAAGTTAAAATTTTTAATTTAAAAAAAAAAAATTTTGTATTAAAAAAACAATAACTTTGAAAAGAACTAGTGTTAACTAACCTAGAGTTTTTTAAGTCATAAAAAAAAATATTTAAACCATATGAAGTTGCTTCTCTTGCTGCTGGAAAAAGCTGCTATGACATGCAATAAATGCTGCATACACTTAATGATGTTAATTTCTTATATTCTATTAAAAAAAACTCATCATTTATGACCACTATCTATTAAAAAGGATCAAAAATGTATATTGCTATTTATGGGATGAATTCCATGTCAAATAAAACATGGCTACCAAGCATGTCACTGTAAACAGAAACACATGCTCTAAAAAAAATCAAAGCCAGTTAATTTTTTTCTGCATGTTCAGTATACAACTGAACATGCAGAAATAAATGAAAACCAAAAAATGTGTTATATCCATTCTCATCTGAAGGCTGAAAGCATGCATGCTGTAATTGAAAAAGCAGCAAAACAACAAATAGTATATGATACTGCTAAATGAGAAATAATTCTGGGAATGCAAGACAACAGCAAATGCCCCATGTTGTCACATTGAAAAGTTAAATACTGATGATTTTCAGTTTAGTTTCAAAAAAAAATTACGACACAATGTCTTGTACATATTATTTTAAAAAGACAGTTAAATATTATATTTCCAGAGAAAACAATGTATACACACGCTTTATAGATTTCATAAAAGCTTTCAATAGCGCTATTTATTGGAAGCTGATTTCTAAATTAGTTGATCATGGTATAGTCAAGAATGTTGTCTGTCTAGTTGTGATTTGAAACAAAAATTAAACTGTGAGTGTCAGATGGAAGAAAGCAAATTCTGATATTAACTTTAATATAAGCAATGTACTGTAAGGTGGAATTTATTTACCCAATTTTTTTTACAAAAATTGATTTTTAATGTTACGAAATTATATATTGGATGTAACATAGGTGGTATTTTTTTAAATCTTTTGGGATATGCAGATGATTTTGTCTTTATTGTATTGACTTGGTTTGCATTGCCAAAATTGCTGACTGCAATAAATTTTAAAGCTACTGACATTAATATGTCATTTAATACCAAGAAAAAGTTTGCATGGTATTTAACCCAAATCAGAAATGCAAAGTTATGTCTTTCTTGAGAATTTCGAGAATTTAAACACTGGTGTTGAAATTCTCAAAAAATCACCAAAACCTACTTAATTCCGAATTTTAATTTTCTCTACCGATTAATTTAAAAATAATGCTTTTGTGACATATGCTACATTTGTGAAACAGGGCTAAAGATACCCAGAAAACATTGTTTTAGTGGATTTGCAGTGGACTTATAATATAAGTCCATATAAACTATATAAGTTATATAAACATTTTGAGAGGTTTTGTTTATCGGTTACTTAGTGAACCATTGATGACAGCCGCTATAAATGGCTGCCTATGCTCCGACATGTTAATAGTAGTTAGTCATTGGTTTTCCACGTTTGACGGCTGTCACTAATGGTCCACTAATAAACCTATGACCAAAACTACAGTCGTCAGATCAAAATGCTGGTATAGCCACACCGAAATTCCGCTTTAGAAATTTTGTTGTGTACCGTCTGGAATACGCCAACATCAGACGAGCGCGCGTCAAGGAAAAGTAAAAAATCCAGCTGTAGCAGAGCCTAGATGAAAACGTAATTTTGGTGAAAATATTCGTAATATGGTGAAAAAAAAAAAAAAAAAGTGAAAAATTAAAACTAACGTTTTAATTTTTCACTTTTTTTTTATTTTTTCAATGAAACTCAATGTACATTATTTCGTAAATTTAAAAAGATTTGTATAATCAAGGACGTATTAATAGATGGACGTTTAACGTATTGTTTAAAAGCCAAGATATCCGCGTTATTCATTGTTACAAATAACAATAGCAAAACAATAGAGAACAGACGTTAACTATTTTTAACTTGAGAATATTCTTTCTTGATTTTGCGTCGAAATAACGATAGTCTCGCCTAGCCTAAGAAATATTTAAACATTCCATAACACCTAAAAACTCTAAAAAGTTTTTAAATAAACAAAAACTTTTCATTATATGATCTATAAACTCAAGCGAAATCTTTACATGGAAAAAAAAGTTAATCCCATAAAAATATCAAAACAAAATTGTAAGTGAGGCGAAATTTCCGACAAAAATAAGAAATTTAAATACTTAAAATAATAGTGAAAACTAAGTGTAGGAAATGTAGGAGACCACAAGTAATCTAAAGTTTGATTTATATATGATCTACAGTTTTACCTACAACATTAAGAAAATTCGTTTCACTTAGCAGTATTCATTCTTGCAAACTAAATATCACTTTTTTACAAAAATATGATTTTTGACGTCTAAGTTTTATTAATAATAAGTTCTTATTAAAAAGTGCTCACGTATCAAATTTGACATTTTAAAACAGATGAGCTATTACTGATTAACTAAAATTCATTAATAATAATAATAGTAATAATTGAAGCTGTGTTCTTGAGAGTTTCAAGAAAGAATCTAACAACTGTAGATGTTAGATTTTAACAACTGTTTTTCGCTAAACTTTTTAAGTTTATTTTTAAAATCAATTACTGAATTAGCGTTAACAACTTCACTGTCCAAACGATTCCAATTTTCAACTATACGGTTAGTGAAGAAATGATGCCTCGGCAAAAAGTTTTGAACATACTGCCTTCGCAACCTTTGATTGTTAATTTAAATTAAATGTTAAATTAATTTTAAAAAAAGTTAGAATTTTGTAGGTAATTGCACTTTTTAAAAAAAGTAGTTAGAAAAGCGAAATTATAGGAAAAACGTCGGTTTACTTTTATAAATTATTCAGAAAAATGACGCTCCTCGCATACGTTTTTGTTTACTCGCGGCGCCTCATATCTATAATCTATATAGGTTAAACGTCAGGTTTAAATGTAAACAAAAAAAGTTTTTTATAAAAAATGACACGTTTACAGTGTTTATTACATAAACTTAACTTTGTTTAAATTTATGTTATAAACACTGTTTATTTATACAGTATGAAACTGTATGGTCATGCAGATATGCAAAAATTTTATGCTTTTTTATATTCTTTGCTGTTTTAACAATTTGTTGTTGAGCAACAAAAAAACTCGTTCGAAAAAAGGTGTAAATTTCGGGTAGCTCAGGGTACTCGAGGGTACCTCAATTCTTGGACCTCTCAAGGGTACCTCAATTTTCGATCCTTTACTATTTTTACCCTATGTGA